TGTTTATGAGGTGTATTAGTCCATTTTCACGCTGCTGCTAAAGACATACCCATGACTGGCAAATTACAAAAGAAAAAGGTTTATTGGACTTTCAGTTCCATGTGACTGGGCGGCCTCACAATCTTGGTGCAAGGTGAAAGGCACTTCTCACATGGTGGCAGACAAGAAAAGAGAGATTGTGCAGAGAAACTCCCCTTTTTAAAACCATCAGATTCGTGAGACTTAGTCACTATCACAAGAACAGCACAGGAAAGACCTGCCTCTATTATTCAATTACCTCCTACTGGGTCCCTCCCACAATACATGGGAATTCAAGATGAGATTTGTGTGGGAACACAGCTAAATCATATCATGAGGGTACCCCCTTCCACAATTTATGACAATACTAGTAAATTCAGGTTTTACTCTCAGAGAAATTCTAGACCACAACCAGCTGGAATGTATAATTGAATGGGTTGATAGAACAGTGAGAATATAGGAACCAATATTAACCTAACCTTATCATTTCTGGATTGCTCTTACAGAGATTTCATTCCACCAGGTCACATGTTTACAAAGAACTCAGCTCCCCTTTATTCCCAATTTATGCAATACTGACTGAGGTGTGTTATCCTATTCACCACAGGATCTGTCATTCATTAATATATGACATTTGTAGGTGCTTCCAGCTACAAAAGACAGCGAACAATTGGGTGTAGCCCTGGGTCTAAATGTAAATACAATGTTCATTTCAGCATATACCATGCTCGGCAAAGTCAGTGACCCATTGGGGTAGATAGTGAAGAAAGATTTGTTGAATGAGAAGAACAAGAGAAAACAAACAATGAGAATAATAAACAGAATTATTAAAAGAGTTCTAATCCTGTTATTTAACATTTATTGAATACAGTGTCATATAAGCAAAGACCATAGCTCTCATTTCTACCCAGTGAATTCACAAAAGAGAAAGACAAAAAGATTTAGGGAGTGGAAAAAAACAAAACCACTAGTGAATTTAACACAAATCTAGCTTCTGGCAACAAAGGCAAGTATTTCAGTTTGGAGAAATGATTTGAAATTTACAACCAAACAGTTTAATTGTCCTGGCTTGCTATTCCTGGTTGTTTTCTCTGGTTTATAGTTGTCCTTGGTCTCAGGGCTCTCAGGATGTTTGGGGAGGGCAGGTTGATGAGCCAGAGACCTTCTTGGCAGCTTTCTAAGAGTCTTTGTTTGACAATCCGAAAGATCTGAGGACAGAAATTTCAGAGTCTATATAGGTATGTTGATCAGACCTTTGGTGTCAGATAATAAATACCTTTATTGATATTATTATTTTTAGAGATGGAGTCTTGCTCTGTCACCCAGGCTGGAATGCAATGGCACAATCTCAGCTCACTGCAACCTCTGCCTTCCGGGTTCAAGTAATTCTCCTGTCTCAGCCTCCTGAGTAGCTGGGATTACAGACACGCACCACCATGCCTGGCTAATTTCTTAGTTTTAGTAGAGACAGTGTTTCACCATGTTGGTCAGGCTGGTCTTGAACTCCTGATCTTGTGATCCACCTGCCTTGGCCTCCCAAAGTGCTGGAATTACAGGCATGAGCCACTGTGCCATGCAACACCTTTATTCTTTAGCATATAATGATAGTCATACTACCCTCTCTTCTGGCATGTTCTCTTGTATGGTTCCCTGAAATAAGCCCCTGGGCAAAATCTCTTTTGACCTTTTTGCAGCAAAGCTTTTATTTTGTTCTTATTATTGTTTGATGAAGTAAAAACATTTTTCCTGCTGTGAACACTAAAGCTGATTTAGCTGCCTGTTTTGCATACTTATTCCTGCCTGAGGTGCTTTGGCGGTGACGTTATGAGGCTAGGTGGCATAGGTGATAAGTCTTTCTGTAAGGGAAAACAATTTTCAGGTGAATGCTTCCACCTGGCACCTGCCCTGGCTGATGGCACTCAGTGTTTACCTGACATCCCTTCTCCTGAGGGTGATTGGTTACACGGCAGGCACGTGGCCCCTGGCAGGTGGGAAAAACCACCTATTTCATGAGAACCAGGTTGTGCTTTACTCCACAAAGGCCAGGATGTTTGAGAAGATCACTACTGCCAACTATAATCTCTTCTTCCAGTGCCTTCGGTTAAATTTGTCTTAATTCTTACAATTCTCTTTGTAGAAAGGACAGCTCCCAATCTTAGTCTACTTTCATACTTTGTGCTGTAACATGCTACAGCTTTCTTTAAACTGACTGGCACTCAAGAGTTAATTTTCGATTACATGGTAAATACTAAGCTACAAAAGCTTTGAACTCAAAATTTAATTCTTTGTTCTAAGATGATATAATGGTGAGATATATATATATATATATTTGGAAGGATGGAGCACAAAGCTTGCTTCCTTCCAGGGTTTGTCTCCTATTTCTTCTGGTACCAGTCTTCCTTATGAATTGCTGGAACACTGATTAGTAACTTTCTTCAGGATTGAGTTGAGCGAATGTGTATATGTTATTTATATGCATTATATGTATCCTGAGGAAAGTTGCATGTGTGTGTGTGTGTGTGTGTATTATATATATAATACACACACACACACACACACACACACACACACACAGAATTAAGTCCCTTTTAACTTTGTATTAATATGACCAATAAGGCCTGATTTATGCCTAGTGGCCATTTCTGACATGGCAGACTGCTATGCTAGTATGGGAAAGTGCTAGTCTAAACTGAATATGCTCCAGCAGTAACTACAGTGAATTTTCTGTGGAAGTCCCAGTTTTAAGACGACATTTAAGATTTATTATTTATAAAGAATATTTGAGGAAGCTTTAAAAATAAATTACAATAAAAAAGTAGAGACTTCTAAATAAACTTAGAACAACCAATGAAATTGTAAGAAGAAAGACAGTAGAAGCAACTTCTAATGAATGTATTAATGGAGATGAGCACTAAACTTAATTCTCAAGTTATTGGCATCTGATGCAAAAAAGAAAATAACTTAGTTGATCTAGTTCTCATTGTTTACCTGAAGAGAACTTTCAGATTCCTCTCAGAGGCCTTCACAAATCAGGCTGGTAATAAGTAAATGAGAGAATTGACCGGGGATGAACCAAAGAGAATGGTACAGCTTGTGTTGGCCCCATTCAGAGGAATTTGAGCTAAAGCTACACTGAAACAACAATTTTTTTCACTGACGAAAAAAAAAACCAAAGGCCTGAGATGTGTTAGATAGCTGAGTTAGCATTGAAATACAGGGGAAATTTATCCTGAATTTGTCATATTAGGCCTTCTGTAACATGAAATGTAATGTTTAATATGCAAGTTACCTTATTTAAAAAGCAAATAAATGGTCATTGCTTTATATGATCTTCCAATATTGAACTCCTGGAAAAGCTGAAGGATTAAATTTATTGTTTTGCCTCAGTGAATATACTAGGAAGTCTCTAAAAATCAGCCATGCCCCCAGATGGTCTAGGAGTGCCCCTAGGTGGCAGGACACAATTAAAAATACTTTAATTTCGTGATTAAAGCTCTTCTTCTTCTTCTTCTTCTTCTTCTGTTTTTGGTTTTTCCTATCTTTATTAAAAATTTTTTTTTGTTGTTGTTGTTGTTGTTTTTTGAGATGGAGTTTTGCCCTTGTCACCCAGGCTGGAGTGAAATGGCACGATCTTGGCTCACTGCAACCTCGCCTCCCAGGTTCAAGTGATTCTCCTGCCTCAGCCTCCCAAGTAGCTGGGATTACAGACACCCACCACCACAACCTGCTAATTTTTGTATTTTTAATAAAGATAGGATTTCACTATGTTGGCCAGGCTAGTGTCAAACTCCTGACCTCAGATGATCTGCCTGCTTCAACCTCCCAAAGTGCTGGGATTACAGGTGTGAGCCACCACACTGGCCTTGTGATTAAAGCTCTTCTGCGAGCTCCACTTTTCATTGTTCTGGAACGAATATCTCCAGCAATGGAATAATTGTTCTCCCTTGAATTAAATAAGAAGTAAGGCCATAATATGATGATTGATTATGTCTTATATATGAGGTAGAATATGGTAGGGAGGAGTGAGGCATTACAGATTACCAGTAGAGTTCCCAGAGGAAAACAGGTCAGGAGATGTATTGGAAGGAGCAGGGGAACCTGTCCTAATCTTTCTCCCACTGGCCTGGTTACCTAAATCTATTCTCAGACATTAGAAAAAGTCATCACAACTTCTGTGTCTATTTCTACATGTTTATGTTATTCACATGATCAGATAAAACTGAATTCTCTCTCTGCATTCTCATACTTTTCAGTAATTTTTATCTCTGTGATTGTAGAATTCCTATGAAGAATTCTAAGTTTCTTGGTGGTTTTTGTGAACAAAAGAAACTTTTTATTATTATCATCACCATGTGCAAAATGCCTGTCCAGGGTTAAGTTGTGATCCATGTGATATAAATCCAGTTCTGGGTGGATGTGGGAGGTACATAGCTTGAGACTTGAGCAATGTTCTAAGTTCATCAGTGGCCACCAGACCAAGAAAAGCTACAGAAAAGCTAGGAAGCACACCACCAGCAGGCTTCTTTTAGATTGTGAAAAATAGGGAAGGCGGGCTTGTCAGCTGAAGACAGTAGTCTGTGACTAATGTCTAGAAGAGAAGGAATGTGTCACATACTGGGAATTCCTGCACTTTAGCATGGCTTTCCTTGCTAAGATATTATTTAGCAAAGCCCATGAATATGCCAGGATAAAGACAGTGCAATGCAAAACCTGGCTAAAATCAGATGACAGATATTTTTTGTTTTAATTTTAGTTTTTATTTATTTATTTTTGAGACAGAGTCTCACTCTGTCGCCAGACTGGAGTGCAGTGGCGCAATCTCAGCTCAATGCAACTTCTGCCTCTTGGGTTCAAGTGAACCCCATCTCAGCCTCCTGAGTAGCTGGGAGTACAGGCGTGCGTCATCACACCCAGCTAATTTTTTGTATTTTAGTAGAGACGGGGTTTCACCATGTTGGCCAGTATAGTCTCCATCTCCTGACCTCATGATCTGCCCGCCTCAGCCGCCCAAAGTGCTGTCATTACAGGCGTAATGACACTCAGCCACCGTGCCTGGCCCCACAGAGTGGTTTTAAAGTCAAATCACTTTGGAAGCGAGTTTTTAAACAGCCCAGCTGGGACCTTTAGTTTCAATGAGGGATTTCACCTAAGCCTCTGACAAGTCTCCAAGCACTGTTTGTTTTAAAGCACTAAGCACTTTAGACTTAACTTGGCAAGAATACCTGGGTATCTCTAAATAAATCAGTGACCCCAAATGTCTAAAGAACAAATGAAGATTCTGCAGATTCTTTTCCTCTAGTATCTCTATCAGGCCAGAGCATTCTTCTTTTAGTGCATGCTTATTTTTATACTTGCTTTTGCAACCCTTTATGCTTTTATTGAAATGTTTGTAACCTTTTGTAACAGCCTCTTGATAAGCTTCCATGTGGGTTTTCATTTTGCAAATGAGATCTTATTTACCAAGTTGGTGGCTTGTGTCTTTTGGCTAAATATGTGGTATATGTTAGGGGCTATAACGAGTTATGTTTGAGAGGCCAATAATTTGTTATTACCATATAGTAGAAAGAATAAACATGTTTTCTCAAGATTCCCATTCCTAAGTTGTGTAATCTAACACTCGCCCAGGTACCTACCTCTGCGAAGGGACTCTGAAGACAGAATTAAGTTAAATAATCAGCTGTCCTTAAATTAGATAAGGAAGCTGAATTTTTCTAGTTGGGAGGCTAATATTTAATGTCATCACTGGAAACCTTAAAAGCAAAGCAGGAAAACAGAAAAGTTAGAGAGAAGCTGTTGAAGATGGAGGCAGAGGAAAGATGAAGTGGAAGGGAAGGTACAGAGATTTGAAACATGAGGACTCAACCCACTGTTGCCAACTTTAAGGGCTGAAGAATGTAGGTGGTCTCTAGAAGCTGAGAATGACCCCAGTCCACAGGCAGCAAGGAAGCAGGACCTCACTCCTTCAGCTACACGGAGCTAAATTTGGCCAACAATCCAAATGAGCTTAGAAGTGAACTATCCCCCAGGGACTGGCCAGCAGACACTTTAATTTCAGCCTTGGGAAAAACCCAGAGCAGCCAATTCTGACTTCTGACTGGCTGAACTGTGAGGTAATAGACTTGTGTTGTTCTAAGCCTCTGTTTGATCTAAGTTGCTTTAAGTCTGTGGTGATGGTGCACATACTCTAATGGTAGCAATAGAAAACTGGTAAGGTAAAAAATGCCTTGGAGTATCTGAGTGTCCTGGGTTACTTGATTTCAACAACAGCTGGCCAGGAAAAGAGAGCAAGGGAGAAAAAGAGAGGAAAAAGGAAAAGAGGAGAGAAGGTATCTGACATTATAAACAGCAGGGACAATTTGGTCTCCACTCCATTCTATGACTCTCACGTAGCTTCTTGCACACCTCATGGTATTAGCGTCTCACAACACTGAGTGGGTTTTTTAAATTTGATGGGTTTCTTGAGAGTACAAGGTGGCCTTTTTTGGGTACAAATTTAAAATTTGATGGGTTTTTAGGGTACAAGAATGGCCTTCTTTATTATAAACTGTGTCCTACTGAGTACATTATATTTATGAATAGTTACAGTATAGGGTTGTATATGTAAAACAGTGCCCACTATACTTTAAGGAAACTGTAAGAGATCTTCAGCAGTATTTTGATTTCAGGTCATTTTCATCTTATAGACTGATTTTTTTCGGAAACAAACCACCATGTGACATCCAACACCATTGTCCCGAATGCTATCCCTCCCAGTCACAGCCTTTGGAGAACCTGAGCTTCTAGAAGGAAGCAGTTCACAGGAAAATAAAGGAGCCTCACTTGCTGTTGCTAAAAAGGCTGAGGCCCATGTATATACTGTCAGCCCATCAATTCCCTCAACTTCTCTACGCTGGATTAGAATGTCCCTTTTTCCTTTCTAAGCACACTACAAATCATTCCTTTTTTAACCTCTTTTCTTATACAAGGTAACCTGGGATGTTAGTGATAAATAATCTGATTCAACCTGTGAAAATCTGGAGGGTTGGGAAGGAAATAACAAAGCACACGTATGTCTTGCCCCAGCCCTGTTCCCTCATTGGTTTCCTCAATGCCCAGGAAAAAAGCGCTGATTGAGATGAATTTTCTAATGCATAATATTCTTTCTCTTTGTATAGCCTAGCTTCAGTATTGCTTCTCTCTCATGTATCTTTGTAATTTTCTGTGTAGGAAACTCTGGAGGCCTCCCACAGATTGGCTCATTTTAACAAAAATGCATTTCTTCTGCCCTCTACAACCTCCAGGAGCCTTCAAAGATGAAGTTAATTATACATATTTTAAAAAGAAACCAAACACAGAGTCTTGAGGATTTCAAGTTCTAAAACCAGATTTATTATGTTCAAAGTTGTGTCTGGATAAAAGGAAAGTGTAACATTAAAATATTAATCTATTCATGCCATTTAGTGCTTTGAGTTATTCACAGATGCTTGGGGTTGTTTGTTTGTTTGTTTTGTTTTGTTTTTGTTTGTTTGTTTATCTAAGAATAAGGCATTTATCTGAGACCAATCAAATGGAAAGGAATATTTTTTGCTTTCGGAATTCTTCCCATTTGGGGTTGTTTTATTATAGAACACCATCCCTTGGACATTTTATGAGCTGTATTCCTAACACATTTACATGTGATTGAAGCGCTTAACAGAAAAACTAGGTAAATTGAGTACTAACAGCTAAAGCAAAATGCTAGGCAACTATTTCCAAATGTAAAGTGCTTTGAAGCTGTTAAGCCATTCTATCCCACTCCCCCAAGCTCTCCTTCCTCTGAGAATTATAAAGGAGATGATGTTCTGTAAAATATTTGATGATGTCTGTTTTAGTCGACCATTTACATTTTCCAAACTGATTTGGGAGTTTAGCTTTAGCCTCTCCCCATTTTATGTTGTTTAGTCAAGAATCTTCTAGGTACAGAATAAAGTTTTTGAATTTTGCTCTTCTATTTATAAAAAGACAATAATACTACTCATCTTTGCCAATCTCATTGGATTAGGGAGCTTGGACGTTATGATAAACAAGGATATAAACTTTAAATAGCCATACATATATAAAGTATTAGAAATGATATTACTTCTAACATTGTTATTAGCAGAAACTTTACAGACTCAAGATGCTATGAAAATGTAGAAGGCACAGAACTTATACTCTATTATAGCTGAGGATTCAGAAATATCATTTAGGCCTGAAATACTTTATTTCAGTTCTAATATTTGTTTGGTTAGAAGCATTTTGACAGGTAATACTATGCTCACTAAATGTTTGCTCCCCACACTTTGCCCAGGTTTTTCAACCATATCTCATTTACTAAAATCTTCAGGATCTTTTCTCCTGGGTTGTTTTCCTGTGGAGACTCTTGCTAGTGTTTTATTCATAATTGAACTTTACATGTACTATATCTTGCATAGAGTACACTAGGCTTGCCTCGTCTTCATTTGAGATATACCTTTCTTTTGTTATCACCTAAGGTCACATTGATTTTTTGTCAGTGTCTCCTATAGTGTATTCCATGCTGGATTGAATAAGGAATATGGGGGAGGAGACATACTCTGCAGTAATTCTTTGGAATTTAGGAAGGGCCATTGTTGATCATATAATCGGAAGATCTTTGATTTGATACAAGAAACAGAGGGCCAGAATGATAAAGCCATTTGCTTAAGTTCACACAGTTGGTTGCTAGCAAGGGTAGAATTAAAATTCTGATGATTCCAGATCGAATGCTCTTCCCACTATGCAGGAGAAGGAGGGAGAACACAAGAAGAAAGATGGCTCAGAGCAGGAGTCAGCAAACTATAGCCTGTGGGCTGTATCTGGCCTACTGCCTATTTTTGTAAATAAAGTTCTTTTTGGAACACAGCATATCCATTCATTTACATATTATATATGGCTGTTTTCACACTACAAGGGCAGAGCAGAATAGTTTTCAGAGACCATCTGGTCTACAAAGCCTGAAATGTTTAGTCTGGTCGTTTACAGAAAAAATTTGCTGACCTCTGGCTTAGAGGAGAGATGACTAAAAAATCTGGATAGGAGCACTTCGTGAGCAGTCCTTTTAGTTTGCACGCTTGTTTCTAGTTCTTGTTTACTGAACAAACTGCTTGGCTATTAGGCAAAATTGTCCATCTGACTCTCTCATGATTAATTACTGGTTGATTTAATAAATGCACATGTATCCTTGCAGAAGGATCAGTAAATATTTTCCAGAGGTGTGTCCTATAATATGTGATTTGTTTTCTGTATTCATCTTCATAATATATTCTTGATGACATTAGTATGTCTAATTGAAAGTAGTGGAAACTTACATGGGATACACAATAGCTGTATTCAAGTATGTGAAGGACTCTCCTGTGAGTAAAAGGATTAGATGTATTTATCCTTCAAGTCCAACTAAAATGTGCCTTTGTTGTTAAGCCCCTGATTCTAGCTACTCCCTTCTTTGGGCAAAATTAATCACCCTCTCTTCTGTGCTTCCAAAATTCTTTGTACAAAGTGCTGTTATAGCATTTGTCACATGGCATTATAGGTCATCATTTGCACATTTGTAACCCCAGTTGATGGTGAAATCCTTGAAAGTGAAGACAATATCTTCCTCTTTTTGGCATCCTCATCATTGGGCTCGGGCCGTGACTCATGATGGTAGCAACCTAATGCTTGATGAGTGAAGGTATATTATAATCTCAGAGGGCAAAGCAAGGACCGTTGTGAAATCTCAGTAAAAAGAACTTGGTGGTAGTGCTGGCAACCAATTGAAAACTCTCCTGAACAGTGTGCTTGGACATCAAAGAGAAGAACTAGGGGTTAGAATGCCTAGGCTTGCATTTTAACTGTGCCGTTTAATAACTGTCCATAGGTGGGTTGCTTATCTCTGAACCTCAATTTCCTCAGCTTTGAAATGGAGAGGATACAGGGAAGCAGTTTTCTAAGTGTGGGCTATAAACCCCTGGGTATTCCCAAAACACTTTCAAGGAGTCTTTGAGGTGAAACCTATTTTTATTAGAATGCTAAGACATTTGTCATTTTCACTCTGTCGATATTGGCATGGATGGTGCAAAAGCAATGGTGGGAAAACTCCTGGTGTCTTTGTACAAATTAAAGCAGCAGCAGCACCAAGTTGAACTGATAGTCATTGTTTTCATCTCGGTCATATACTGACATGAAAAAAAATACATAACAGCTTCACTTAAGAATGCTTTTGATGAAGGAGTAAAATTATTAATTTATTAAATATACTTATATAATTATTAAATATAAATTATACTCAATCTTTGAGTATAATTTCCTTTTTAATATTTTGTGTGATAAAATGGGAAGTATACATAAATCGCTTTTACATTTCGGAAGTATAAGGGCTGACTTGAGGAAAAAGTACTTGTGCTATTGATTTGCCAGCTAAACCAGCATGAAACTAGGCATGGTGTTTCAGAAGCATGCGTAGGTGAAGATCCATTGAAAGTGCAGTATGGGCCAGGAGTCATGACAGTTCATGCCTGTAATATCAGCACGTTCGGAGTCAGGGAGGGAGTATCTCATGAGTCCAGGAGTTTGAGATCAGCCTGGGCTACACAGGGAGAACCCATCTCCACCAAAATTAAAAAATAATAAGCTAGGTGTGGTGGCATGTGCCTGTGGTCCAGCTAGTTGGGAGGCTGACATGGGAGGATGTCTTGAGCCTGGGAGTTTAAGGCTGCTGTGAGACTTGATGGGACCCCTGCACCCCAGCCTGGGTGACAGAGCAAGACCCTGTATTAAAAAATTTGAAAGTACAATATGGATATACTTTAAGATGAAAAGATGTTAATGTAATAGCATCAATATGTTAAATTCATTGATAGGGTTTCAGATTCCACATTGCCAGCCACTTTTAAAGAAACTACTACTGTCAAGTTTTGGTGTGATATCAAAGATAAAATATCTGCATTATGTGAAAAGGCTTTTAAAGAGTACCTGCTTTTTCTACTATATATCATCTGTGTGAGGTAAGATTTCTTCATATACTTCAAGCAAAGCCACATATTGCAACAGATTGAATATATAAGCAGATATGAAAATCCAGCTGTCTTCTAAGGCAGACATGAAAATGATTTGCAAAACTTATAAAACAAAGCTGTTCTCCTCACCAGTTTTGTTTTGGAAAATAGAGTTATTTATTATAAAATGTTATTTATATTAATGTGTAATCAATTTATAATTTTTATTTAAAATGTGTTTGTAAACATTTTAAAATTTCCATTTTAATTTCTAATATGGTAAGTATTAATAGAGTAAATTCACACAACAAGTCTTTGAAGTTCTCAGTTTTTAAGAGTATATAATAAGGGTCCTGAGACCAAACAGTTTGAGAATCACTGATGTGGGAGACAGGCATTTTCATATACTGCTGATGGGAGTATAAATTGGTACAAACTCTTTGGAAACCATATGCTATTATCTACCAAAACTTAAAACACTTGCCCATCGATTCAGCCATATAATACAACATTGGTTGTAAAAGTAAAACAAAAGAAAATGGGAATTAAAGCACACAACAGTTGAAGCTCTTTAAGTAAGTACATCCCAAAAGTGAATTTATATATATTTTGCAGATATTAAAAATAGTTACTAATCTGGAACTATACAAAGAGTTCCAAGACATGTTAAGTATTAAAATAGCCGCAGAAAATTATTTTTAGTATATCCTATTTGTGTAAATAACAGTTATCTGTTAATATAGACAAATGCCTAGAATCTGGAGTTACTTTGGAGAAAATGATTAGGGGCCAAAGAAGGGTGAAAAGAGACATTCAGATCTCATTTCATACCCTTTCATATTTTGTTATTTACATATCCATTTTTCGTCTTACTTAAAAAATTAATGTAGGTGATAATACTCAGAATGTAAACTAGTTGAGCAGTGTTAAATCTCGTGGCCTATAGAGGATGTTTACAATGTAAGTGTTGCATTTTGCATGTAATTATTACATATGTAGTGACACTGTTGGTTGTAAAAGTGAATGATCACTTCACGTGTTAGTGTGATCTCATCAGTAGAGTGTTCTCCAAGCAATTAACGAATGATAAGGAAATATCATAGATCAGATTTCTGCCTCTGAGTATATTCAACTGATCTCTCAGTTTAAATTCTGATACTCTTTGATACCGTTATTTCTTAATGAACAGCCATAATATTTGGGACTAGAAGTTCTATACCAAAGGTCCTCCATCAAAAAGTTATCTCTGAGCAACTTAAAATCTTCAGAATTTTTTTTCATCTGTTAGTTTTGATAGAATTCACTTTTCCCCTTTAATTTTGTTCTCAAAGTAGGGAGGGACTACTAGGACAAATATGTAAATATTCACTTAGTCTTATACTGTGCCACAGTAGGAAGCACCCTAAGTTATGAAAAGAAATTATTACATTAATCTCACAATTGCCGGTTCTACAAACTGGAATTTATTTAGTAGAATTGCTCCCATTCTTAGGATAAGTTTGTCTCTAGGATAAATTTTTCCTATAAGATAAATGATGCAATTTGCCATCTTAAAATAAAGAACACTCCATATATTATTATATAATTTTAAAAAATTATTTAGTGATTAACACAACTACTTTTTGGGTCCAGTAATATAATCTTTTTAGTCAAGAGTCGTGTAATATAATTACATCAACATATACAGACAAACTTGTGTCAACTGTATATGCAACTATATTTTTATAAAATAGGAGTGAGGTTGTTGTGTGAAAACAGGTGGACTTTTCTGGAAGAACAGAAATAATTTACTACTAGCATCTTATTGAAAGAAAAATGCCAATTCAATTTGAATAATGTTGGGAGATAAAGCATGCCAGCATTATTCTTTATTTCTTTTATTAATGAGTTTGGGTACAAAAAAGTCAATAAAAATTGCATTAAAAACTCATAAACATTGTTCAAATCTTCTTTCTCCATCAGTCAGATTCATAAAGCTGGCATTTACATTTAAATGGCAGTTAATAACAATAGAATTTTATTTAGTGAGTCAAACAACACATGGACTCATTTATTTACTTATCGGGCATTTGTTGAGTGCCTCCTCTCTGCCAGACCCCATACCAGGTACTGGGTCTCCAGCCTTGAATAAGACATACTTCTTACATTCTATGAGTTTAATCACCAGTGGAGCAGAAAACTATGTAAACTGATAACTAAGGAAGTAACATTGTGAAATAGGAAGAGCATGAGATCTAGGGGGTAAACAAATTTTAAACTTGGGCTTCCCCATTTCTGAATTATATAGACTTCCAACTTTTCTAAGTTTCAGGGCTTCATCTGTAAAACAGAGATAATAATTTCAGAGTGTGTCTTTTTTAGGAGTTGGAGAAAACATTAAAAGTACAGAGCCTGAAACTAAATCTAATCAAATGAGATCTATTTATTACCCTTAAACAATAATATGAAAGGTACTATATTACAGGCATGTACAAGGAAGAAAGGATAATTGACTTGGGGATGGAGACAGGTAATGAAAAATTTCTTAATGGACAAGTGTTTAGGATAAGGCAATGTTCACAGCAGGAATTCCAAGCCCAGAAATTTTCATTCACAGAGGTATGATTCGAACTTGTGCTAAAGTATGAGGAACTACAAGTCATTTGGTGAGGCTGTAGTCTCAAAAGCATTGAAATGAAGATGGTGTATTAATGGTTGTCAATCATTTAATGGTTGTCAGAGGACATTTTCTGTCCTGCAAATGATTCAAGACTTTATGCAGTGCAATGGGAATGACAATAAATAGAGTTGAGCTATATTTTGAAGGTAGAATTTATAGAATGAGTGACAATGTAAGACTGAAGGAAAGAAAGGAAGAAAATTCCAGATTTCTGGCTCAGGTAAGTAATAGTTGATGTCATTGATCAGAAGAAAGAATTGAGGAGAAAACGTAGGTTTCAGGGCAAAATGATCAATTTCATTTGGGTATATGAAATCTTCCTTGTCAGGATCTCAGGCAGGAGACCACACCTGGGTTGGAGAAAAGACTGGAGAGTGCTAAGCATCAGATGACTACCTAGAAGTCAGAAGTCCCAAGTTTCTAAATGTGTTGTTCACTAGCTTTGTGACTAGTGAATTTCACCTTTCCTTTTTCTATAAGGGATTTAAAGCAGCTTAACTGTGTAATTATGATGTCTCATAAATGTCCAGGTCTCAGCCTACGTTTTCTCATGAGTACAAATTTTGAAAAACTAGTCAACATCCTTCACAGAGTTGTTTTAAGGATCACATTTTTTTGATATCTGTGAAATCCCTGGAACATATCTGATATACAAACAGAGAATGACATGTTTAGCACTTAAAGATTGAAATTACATTATGCAAGCAAACATGGAACTCTGAGGAAACTCATTGGTAATGACACTGTTTATGGTTACAGTGTAATGTCCGATCATTTATTGTAATGCAGTGTAATGGTTAGAAGTGAGGCCTCTGAGTCAAACTGCCTAGATTCAAATATCAGCCATTTACTCTTTGATTTTGGGCAAGTTATTTAACCTTTTTTATAAGACAGAAACTTGCAGAGTATCTACCTCATAGGTTGTCAGGAAGATGAAATGAGTTAGTGTATATAAAGCATACAGGTCAGTGACTGATGCGTAATTTAGGTCTCAGTGTGTACTCAATATTTTTACAATCGTCATCAGAGGCAGTAACATCATAAGCATTTGTCACTAACAAATGGCAAAATTTTTGTGGAGGGACATTGGAGATAATCATATTGGTTTTATAGATGAGGAAAAGGGAGCTCAGATAAGTTGAAAGATATGTTCAAGGATGCATATATCTTTAGTGAAAGATGGCACTGAGGCCCAAATACTTCTTAACTCACTATACTTCCTTAACCCTTTTTAGGGTAGGGTCTGTGTCTTCATGAGTAGTTTAAGCAAAAATGTAATTTGAGTTGACAATTATGTATGTCTTACAGACAATAACATTGCAGATGTTCTCCTTTATTAATAAATTTGGTAAAGGTCAGAAGTTTCCTTTTTACAGATGTTAGCTCAAATTAAGCACTAACTGTTATGGGTGTGTGTGTGTGTGTGTGTGTGTATGTGTCAGACGGTAGTCATAATGTGAAACACATATGTTCAGATAATATTTGCTAGTTACTCCCTAGCAGTTGCAGACCCCCAGTATTCAAGGGAAACAAAACACCAAGATTCCATAAGATACTTTATTGATATGCCTTATTTTATAATTTTCTTTGTGATTTATTAGGTGAATTAAACACATACCTTAAGAAGAGATTTTCTTGTTTTGTAAGTTTATTATGAATATTAGACCTCAGGCTAAAGTTATTGAACATTAGCACATATGCACATAAAGCACTGTGATAACATCACAGAATATTTAATGATACTTGAGTTTCACATAAAATATTTTCACCTGCAAAGCCCAAAGCATTTCATAAATATTAATGCTGTTAATCAAAGATTTGAATAAATAGATGGATTTTGTATTATACCCTGAAGATAAGTAGAGTGAGATTCTTATTGAATTTATGTCGTCTATTTTAGGAGCTAGGTGGAGGTGATAAAACTGAGCCCAGACTTTTTTTTTTTTTTGAGACGGAGTTTTGCTCTTGTTACCCAGGCTGGAGTGCAATGGCGTGATCTCGCTGAGCCCAGATTTTCATTAATTACCTATAATAAGTGGTTCCAAATAAAACATTTTAGAATGTTACCAGAAATAGTTGCTAGATAGTCAGACTCTAGACATGAAAAACAAGATAAAGAAGGAAAGTTAAATAAGATAAAATGAACAGTAAGTTAAGCAAATATTGTTTAAAAGATACAGAGAAATTAAGAAAAAAGGTGTAGTCAATTTATAAATCACACGTTTGTATTGTCTTAATTTAGGCACACCATGGAAATCAATAGTTGTAGTTTCACTTGGAAGATATAGTTTATCATGATTATTTAACTAGGAATTTCACTTTCTTCCTTTCAATTTGGATTATCATGCATTTCCCCCATTCTGAGCTCCTCCAGCTCTAAAATTCACATGATGTTCTACAATGGGATATTTTCCTTAGTAAAATCATTGGGTTCTAGTTTGCTAAAAAATGTATACTGTGCGGTTTAAGAAATCCGTAGTGAGTACCTAACAATTACATGTTGCTCTGGTCACTATTTTTGTTACTTTGTGAGTGGTGATGGTTTGGATTTGCACAGAGAAGTAAGTGAAAGCAGCTCTCCACCAATGCAGTTATGGGGTCACTTTCCTTACCTCTACCCTATTTTTATTAGATGTCCTGGGTGTGCTTCACAGGTTTCGAAATGGGAACATTTCTACACTTCAGCCAAAATATATGCATCACAGTTTATATCACATGGGAACTGCTTGGGCTTGAAGGCCTTTCTCAGCTCCGTCACAGCCTCATTCCCTCCCTACCTTTGAACCTCCCCAAACAAACACTAAGCTGCTTCTCTTCCCCTGTATTCCATCTTTACCTCACCATGACTTCCAACAAGGTTCTGCCCAAGCTCCAGTTCTTTCACAAATCCTTTGCTAACCTCGCCGGTCACAACTGATTTATTATATTGTACTCCTAGAGCACTCTCTCGGCATCTCACAGTTGAGCAGTTATAGTTCAGTGTGGTTTCATGAGGCTTGTTATTGTCTTAATGGTATTTTGTTTCTAAAAGAAACTACCACGTGTTTCATTTTTGACACCTATATGGTCCCTGGCATAGTGAGGAGGAAATAGATTAAATATCCTAATAAATTTCTATTAACAAGTTAAGTATTGTGACCAAATCTGTCTTATTTTATTCTTAAAATACCCATTTGTAATGAGGTTTTCTTTCTGAGCAATGGATTGTTAGAAATGACTTTCATACACGTAAATTTTAATTATATATATATATTTGTACTTAACAAATTGTTTTCATTGAAAAGAATCCTACCTGAGCAACAGAGTGAGACCCTGTCCCTAAAAGTAAAATAAAAGAAATAGAAGGAAAAAAAAGAAAAACAAATCAGGCTGTCCTGGTAAATGTGGAGCATATACAGCATACACTGTATTGGTTTGTGATGATTTTTTAGATATAAACATTCCCTATTTTAATTCTTAGCCTCTTATTAATAATTAATACTCTCTGATAATGCTTTTTACTATATATTTTTGTTACTTTGATATTTTTTCAAGATCCTATACATTTTCAAACAGAGAGTAAATGCTCTTCAGCTATTGTTTAGTCATAATAAAATTATAGAGGTTCCAAAATATGAAAAACTGATAACTTCAAGTAGTCCCTAGTTAATGATTTTGCTACCTTAAAATGGCAATTGCTTATAAAACATTATACACCCTTTCTGTGAAATAGGAAAAACTCTTCAGAGAGGAAAACCAGAGATGGAATTTGGAATGTTGCTTGGCTATGTATATAGAACTGCTCCTAAAAAGAATACAGTAAAATGATAACATAGCAATTTCTAGGTTATGTTCACAAGCAGAGAGAGCCCAGTACTGCCAATCAAATCAAAAGTGTTCTGTGTTTCATTGGGAATTGATGTCTTTAGTTAATACACTCAGAAGCATTAAAAAAATAACCTATGTTCTGAATTAAGTATGGAAAGTACATTTCTGTCCAGGAATTCGTTGAGATGAAATTATTTTATCTGAGGAAACAATGCAGTAAATTTTATTTCCTTTTGGTGTAATTTTAAAGTGTTCTTTCTATTTTAAACTTAGACCAAAAAAAATGCACTCTATAAATTGAGTGATGTGAACTACTTTAGCAGAGAGTTAATAAATATTACACTAGCCTAGGACAGTATCTATAGAAAGTAAAAGAAAAACAAAATCGGGAAGATGTTGCAGAAGAAGCACTTGAACCCAGGAGATGGAGGTTGCAGTGAGCCTAGATCGCACCAGCGCACTTCAACCTGGGCTACAGATTGAGACTCTCTCTCCAAAAAAAAAAAAAAAAAAAAAAAAAAATCTTGGTTTGTTTACTTAGAATTTCTGATCTTTCTATTTATAACTAAACTTTTTAGCTTTCTTATTTTTATCTACCATTAACATCTTTCTACAGTTAACATCCTTCCACAATTCCCCCTGGTAGCTCCACTTTGATTAAACAATGTTTTAGGCCAGGCGTGGTAGAAAAAATAGGCCAGGTGTGGTGGCATGCACCAATAGTCCCAGCTACTCAGGAGGCTGAGGTGGGAGGATGTTTTGAGCCTGGGAGATGAAGGCCACTGTGAACTATGATCACACAACCACACTGCAGCCTGAGTGACAAAGCATGACCCTGTCTCAACCAAAAAGGAAAGAAGGCGGGGGCGGGGGGAGGAAGAAGAAGAAAGATAAAGAAAAGAAAGAAAAAGAAAGAGAAAGAGGAGGGAAGGGAAGAGAGAGAGAGAAAAAAAATTGTTTTAACTTTATATTTTTAAATAATTCTAAACCCACAGACAATTAAGTATTTTCATACCCAAAGCAGATCTGAAATAATGTTGCAAAATAGTATATATTTTTTTGCTGTTAAAAGGACCAAATAGGAAAAACAGTTTGACTTCAAGTTTTGCTCAAATGAATTCAATGAGAGGGAGTTTCAGTTTAAAATGAGAATTAATTACTGAATAAAGTGTAAAAATAAGATGATTCCGAAAGTTAGAAAAACTCTTCATGTTCACAATGTCCTTAATCCTGAAAAAAGAGGTTAGTAATAAAATATGGGGGAAGACATTTTACTGCAAAGCAATTCCTCAACTCTAATTCAGTTTCATGCTGTGTCAGGTTTTCTAGGAGTATTTATTAAGCAAACTAGTTGGCATAAAAAATTGCAGTACCACTTGAAAATGCCAGTTATGTGAGTGTATGTATATTTTAATAAAAATAGACTTGGCATTTGCTTGATTTTTTTTTTTTCTTAAGAAGAGAGAAACACGTAAAGGAAGCATCATCTATACATGGAATCTTAGGTGAAGATAAAAGAAAAGCCAAATGAAGCTGCTGTAATCTTTCTTTCAAATTGTGTCCTGTTCTGAGTAACTTTGCAAACAATAAGATCTCATCTTTGTGGAATACTATTATGAGTTACTGTTCAGGACTTTGAAAAGAGTTGTCCCTTCTTCTCTGTCTTCATTTATCCCCAGCCTCCATCTCCTGTGAGACAATTGAGACTTCAATCCCAAACCCCCAGTCCTGGTCCAGGATATGTAACTTAATTCCAAGTCTAGCTTGAACCTGATTTCATTAGAACCAACATATGCCTTGTCCTTCTGCTAAATAAAGAAAGCTTTCTTATGCCAGATCCTGGAAAACAGCCGTGAGATTGATTCAGATTACCTTGTTTCTCTCTTCCGAATTCTCCTGCATTTCTGTCTTCATTTTCCTCAAGCCAACTGCTTCCGTATTACAGGCTCCTTCTAACTCTTATGTCACTCCAGAGGTGCCAAATACTGATGCAGAGGGCGATCAGAAATGAGGCTGTTGCTTCAGCTGGGGTTTTTCTACCATCATCGTCTGCTATGGTATAGAACACCGTATTGGTTATTGGTTATATCATAAATTGTTTTCTCTTTATGATAGGATAGTTTGCAGTGATTAAGAATTTCAGGTAGATCTGTTGCTCTGAAATGAAAAGATGTAAATAATCTGAGAGTAAAAGATTCATTTCATATATTGTACCACTGTATTTAGAAATTGGATATATGTAAATACATACATAGGTACATTTATGTATATATACATATGTGGATATATGTGTATATAGGTTTATTCCATCACCAAATGTATGTGACGAAGAAATAAGGTTGGATGAGTACCTGTGAAACAGGCTATCAGTGATTATCTCTGGAGAAGAATAGAGGTAGAAGTAACAGCAAAGTTCTAACTTGAGTCTTATTGAATGGCTTAGGTCATACGTCTCTCCCTGAGCCAATCACTGTGGCCAGAGGGTTAGGGTGTTCTCATTAGGTGGGCCCCCCTTAAGCCAGGGGTGGTGTCAATTCTACTTAAACTGCATGGACAAACAACTAGGGAAGGGTGGCTGCATGAAGGAAAACCTGAATGCTGTTCCCAGAAGGGGTACTAGATGCCAGGCAATAAATATAGCACATGTCCATGATAATACTCCCTTGGATGTCTTTGTTTACAGTGTTTGCATAACACTTTACCGTATATAAGAGCTCTACTCTAGCTTAAAAATTAGACAAAAAATACAGACTATTCAATTTTAATTAAATTGCTGTAGAAGTTGAATTAATATTTATGCCAAAAATTGTAAGGATAAAAAAAAAAAGAAAAGGGAAAGTTGTTTGTAAACTTACCTTCACCTGTTACAGTTGAATAAGTCCAGTATGCTATTTATAATAAATTGTCATCCCTTATATTTGTTTATGAATATGCAGCCCTTTATCACATTTCTCATCAGGCTAATGCTTGGCATTAAAGCCTTATAGATTTGAGTTTTAGGATTTTCTATGATACCTTCTTTGTTAGTCACTCAGGTCATTCTTGAATTGGCCATTTTAAAAAATTTATTAAGCCTTGTGCTTTTGGATTCTCTGAGAAAATTATTTTACAGTGTTGTAAAAATAGAGAAAATTGCTAAAAAGCAATAATATTTATTTTTTTCTTAAGAAAAATGACTGTCAAGCCAATAAAAAGCTAATAAATTTCACTGGTTTCATTACCCTAGTACAAATCAAACAAATAAAAAATATCCAAGAACATAGGTTCTGGTATCAGAAACCAGAGCTTGGGGAATCATTCAGTCACCCCAGCCTCCATCTGTCCCTCATATCCTCAACACAGCCTCCCCTGTCACCTCAGGGTTTTTACACAGGGTTCTATATTGCTGGCCTGATACAAATGGAAGTGGTTTCAGCTTTACCCAACTCAGCACATTTTCAGGGAAACAAACTTTTCCTGACATTGAGTCATGGCGGTCATAATTCAAGTTTCAGAGATTTAATTATATTAATTTGAAGAAAACCACATATTTGAGGCTTAAATATCACATCAGTACTATCTATTTAACAAATTCAGGTATTGTTCTTTATAGCTAATCACTTTCAAACTGAATTAGGCAATGGGCTCTTTCTCCCCAAGCTTCAAACTCTGCCACTGAGCATATTTGAAGCCCATTAATCCCATTTATGCCTAGTGTTCCATTATTGGAACACTAAGCATCTGGGAGTTATTTATATCCTACTGCCCAAGGTCATCGCCAAGGTCTATGGCAGAAATTCAAAAACTGCAGCCTCAAGCATAAATGGATTAAGGTTCTTACCACAACCTGAGTACTGATAAGCAGTTTAAACATTCATTCCCATGTCAACAATTCAGCTCTTTTCTTAGGCTGTTTCATAACTGGCATACCAGAAAAGGGGTCTTATGCCCCCAGTATATTAAGATGTTTGGAGTGGGAAACATAATAGCTCCTTTAGCAACACATGCTATCAGATTTTAACTATTTCCTCAGTGACTTATGGCTGAATTTTTCTCACTGAAGAATGTGAAATGTTAGTCTTTTTACTCAGTGGGCCAGAAATGGTATCAGCAGCCATATGTGAATTCTCTTATAGTCTTTTTTAGCTGAATATTGATAAGTGAATTAAATGCAGCCATTTTAATGTTTTACCAAGTTAAATGAAAGGCAAGCAAGTAAGAAGAAAGAAATTAAGAGTACTAAACAAGGAATAAGCAAAACATTTCCAGCTGAGAGTTGGGAATGAGATGGAAGCTGGCAGAACAGTGAGGACACTGACTTCAGATGGCAGGCATTTAGGAAGGAAGCCTTCACACCAGCCCCAACCTCTTAGAGTTGGCTTTGGTGTGCTTTGTTTTGTGTGTGTGTGTGTGTGTGTGTGTGTGTGTGTGTGTGTGTGTGTGTGTGTGTGTGTGTGTGTGTGTTTCATAATGCAAAGCTACTGCTGTTTCCAAAGTGTGTATATAGCTTATGGAACTAAAGAATGGGGGAAAGAGTGAGCAGTGGCAAAGAAGAGTAATTTTTATTTTTATTTTTCAGATGATTTGGGGTTTGGTGTCATTTGATAGTAGGGCTTCAGAACATATTTCGCCTAGTGAATCGCTTCATTGTTTAAAACTCATGAAGTATCCAACTGATGAAACACATATTTGCCCTGTTAGAGAAATGTGGCAATTATTTATTTCAGGTTTTGAAGAAGTTCATTTTAACACTACTTTCTAGGAGATTTGAAAAAACACAAATAAATTATTATATTTATCTAGTTTATGATTTATTTTACATAAAGCAGTATTACCTTTTGGTCTGGTCCATTTGTTATTAATAAATTATGTAACATAGTCTTTTAGGTATGGTGCCTAAAAAATCTGCATTGGTACCTGACCAAAAAAACTTAAAGCAGGTTATCCATAATCTTATCCATAGTTAGAACTATAAAGGCAAATATTTTGGTTTTCTTTCTTGCTATATATGACATAATGTATATATATTGATATGCGTGACAGGTATTTTGTTTGTTACTGCTGCAATCCCAATATCTAAGAGTATTGTAATGCACATTTGTGCAACCTGATTTGTTTTTAGTATTAATATTAGTCTTCTTCAGTGAACTAAATATGTTGTTACTTATTACCTACTGAGTATTAACAAGCCAAATGCATTCATTGATATGACTTTGCTTTTTGCCTGCTCACCAACCAGGCTCTTATTTGATGTTTTCTTTCTGCCTGTATAGAATAAATAATGTGAAGTTGAAATGATAATGGAGCTTCACTGTGCCTTTTTATTTGGGAAGGATGACAGGGTATTGGGCTGCCACACTAAGGAGGAAGAATGAAGGTTAATGGTGATTTTCAAGTAACTCTTAGAGGAAGGACGATTTTAGCTTTATCCATTTCAGCATATTTTCAAGGAAACCTAAACTTTTTATGATGTTGAGGATTATGAATCATGACACCCATAACTGAAGTTTCAGAGAGATTTAATTATATTGTTGCTTTGAAGAAAACCACATAGAACCATATTTAGGTACAATTTCAAAATCATTTCATCCAGTTTTCACATCTCTGTGTTTTCTTTAAACTATCTGGTAAACATCCAGGGACTCTGAATGCTTTTCTCTGATAGATGCAGAGAGCATTTAAGCTAACACTCAGCTGTTTGTTTATTATGTTTCCAAACTTTTTCCAGTTTCTGTTTAGTATTCAGTGAAATGGTGTAAAGAAAACCATCTGCACTGCAGCTGCAAAGGGATTACCTTCGGTTCTTCTTTTCAAAAAGAAGTCAAATGCCCCCTGTGCACAGCCCTGGACAGTTGCTTGGATCTTGTACCATATGTTTTATACAGTACTCCTGGAGCTTAGTCAATTAATAGCTCAGAAGATACAATTAGCCTTTTAGTGACTGCATTCATTCATAAACGGCTGCCCAAAATAAAGAAACTCTTGACTCCCTTCTCCTATTATGATTGCAGACTGAAGATTTGAAATGTTGGATGACAGCAGATACACTGAGATCATTAGCCCAAAGTGGCTGCTCTGGTTTTTATAGCCTACTGCTACCAAACCAAATTCCTAGGTGTGGGCTAGGGTACTGGTACAAAATAAAAATGAAATTATTCTCAACAGAATGCGTTTAAATTGAATTTTACAGTCCTTACCATGTCTTGAGATAGCTTTTGTCTTTATTTGAATACGTTTTAAGCAGACGCTGAGTAAATACACGTACTGAAATGTAATTATTAAAGTGAAAAACTATTATTTTTCCATGTACTTTCCTTCCTTGGCAATATTTTATTTATGGTAAAATTTTAAGACTTTGAAAATATTTTAGCAAACTCACTTGTAACTTTTTCTTAAAAACCTTCAGGCCGTGTATAGTTCTAGACACTATTGTAATCATAACACACGGATACTAAGCCAATGGCTGTCATCAACTAGGGCAGAAGTTATCCTGATTTCTTCAGAGTTACATCCAGTTCAAGGGACTGTCCAAGAGTCAGTGGTTTGGGTAGGGGCCAGTTTTTGTGAGGATGACGGGATTTGCCTACAGAATTGAAAATTTTCTGTTTCCTAGGTAGGATACCTTAAATAACTATGACATTAATGAATTTGTATTTAAAAGGGGAGATTTAAAGACTTCTATACAAAAAGTTATAATCATTTCCTTCAAACCTGTTTGTATATAACTATATGTTTTCATGTATATATATTTAAATGCTTTTTTAAAATTAATGCTTTGGGAATATCAGTTGCTTTCATATGAGTCTTAAGCAATTTATTTCAACTTATCAAATATTTACTTGGTTAAAATTAGACTTTGTGTTTGGGTGACTAGAGAAAAGGTACCAACAAAGGGAAGTGGGTAGGAAGAGGAGGGTGATTTGTCACTTGTTTTGTTGAGGTTGGAGGTAGATACAAGAAGCACAATGACATTTTTGCTTGTGTTTTTTAAATGTACATCAGAAAATTCAGACACATTTACAAACTGGGTTTTGTTTCTCTTTCTTTCTTTCTTTCTTTTTTTTGAGACGGAGTTTCACACTTGTTGCCCAGGCTGGAATGCGATGGCGAGATATTGGCTCACTGCAGCCTCCACCTCCTGGCTTCAAGCGATTCTCCTGCCTCAGCCTCCTGAGTAGCTGGAATTACAGGCATGCACTACCACACCCAGCTAATTTTTGTATTTGTAGTAGAGACAGGGTTTCTCCATGTTGGTCAGGCTGGTCTTGAACTCCTGTCCTCAGGTGATCTGCCCATCTCGGCCTCACAAAGTGCTGGGATTACATGTGTGAGCCACTAAGCCTGGCCCAAACTGGGTTTTTTAATAGCCAAAGAAATGTCCTTCTGGGTTTAGAATAAGAATGAAGATACTGTATTTGACAGAAAGGAGCATTTAAAATAGGGTAGACTCCATAAGGACTAGAAGAATAGGCTTGAAGAATAAAGCTTCCCATAGAGGAGAAATCAAAGTAAGCATCTACAAGGAATGTAGAGCACATTAGGTTTTAATCTACCTACTAGTAAGATTTTAAAACAAAGAGCCAGAACAAGTATCCTAAACAGTGATCAAGAAATGACACAGAGATGGGGACTGACTACTTGAGCCTGGATTGGTGATTATGGTCCAACATGCATGAATAATCAGAACAGGTATATAGAAAGATAATATTGAAGGATTTACACCTATCCTGAAATATATTAAACCTACTCTTCAAACTACCATTAGGTCATTTGGCTACTTCATGCTAAGGAAATATTTAACTGCTTTTCAAATGCTTTTTCTTTCTAAGAGTCCTTTGTACTTTCTGACATAATTAAGATTTTTCTCATCTTTCATATCACCTTCTCGGACTATGCCAGAAAATTTCAAAAAGGGTTAGAAAAAGCGTTTGAATTGAATCATATTTCTAAATTGAAAAGTTGACCAGAAATTTGGCAGATCTGAGCACAGAAATATTTTATTATTTTAATTGCTATTTTAGTGTGTAGTATCCCTTTAATTGGTTCTGTTTTTTGAGACCAACTATTTTTTAGTTTTTGTGGGGTTTTTTTTTCCTTTGATGAATGTTAAGAATTCTCATGCTTAACATATAAAAAAGAAAATTGCTTGTTAAAGTGCACAGATAATAGGGAATAAGATATGGAATACTTTTGAAACTATGGATAAAGCCTCTCAAATAATCAGTTTAATGCTATCTTGGATCCATGTCATATCTTCCTTCAATAGACCTTACTTTATTTTAATACAGTTTATCATATTAATCTGTTAATGTTTCCATGAGTTAAATGGATACAAAATAGCATCTCCATTGAACGTATTGAAAAACTATGGTACAATGAAATCTAAAGAAAGTCACCCAGAATTATGCAGAAAAGAACTTCAGAGCCAGAACATGAACCAACTCTTTTGGACTTCCACTGACATTTGAGCTTGTTGCCTTAAATACACACAATAGGCTTTGTACTGTTTTTTCTAGTAATTTCATGGATTTGCCTATCCATCTGATTACTCACCAGGTTCCCTCTGTGATCAAAAACAAGGATTCCTAATTAGAAGTGCAGTCTCTGGCATAAGACTGGAACAAAGATAACTGGTCCACTTATTGATTTATTGAATTAATGGCTTCCCCTACTTTAGTAAGGGTTGATCTAACTAGAGGAGTTGACTTTTCACTGAAAAGTAGACTAGATAATGCCAAATATAAAGTCTTTTTGATTTTTCTACGTAGTATGAATTGTGTGCTCTGGGTATAGCATTATACTATGTCATTAGGATTAAGAAAAGTTTCAAAATATCTCTAAAACACAATATCTCTAAAACACAGAGTAAAAGCCATGTATAAGACAGGCCAAGATTTTAAGGCCAATGTCACTCCATTGTTAGAACAAGATTTACTGTGTTTATTTGGCTGTGATAGAATACAATTTTGTGATTCTATTACATCTTTCTTAATAGTCCTGGGAGTTTGTATTTTTTCCTTGACACAATTGCTTATAAATCTGGAATTTAATCAGTTAGTGTAATAGCAAAATTTTGTTAATTATAGGATCATTGAATTTTTTTCTTTATGTAATTTTAAAAAATGGCTTACTTGTGGTTTATTTTAAAGAAAGTTTAACACATTTCAAGATAGGCGTAAATCTTTCAATACTGTTTTAGTATATATCCATTCTGATTATGCATGTATGTTGGAGACCATAAAAGAGATTGTATTTGTTCATCCTACAGCTTTATTCAGTGCCTGTTGTGTTCCAGAAATTTTTTCTAGTTTCTGTGAATTTAACAATAAATAAGCCATAATCCACTACCCTCCTGGAGCTTACCTCCTAGCACTGACTTGTGCTATAGAAGAGTAGTTACCATTTTCATACTTGTAAAGTTTGTTCTTAAAAATTTAAGTTTCTGTTGAATGTTAATGTATGTTGTATCAGTAATAAATGAAACACTTCTTGAGCACCTTTGTTTATTTATTCAGTAGGACTTTTCAGTCACTCATCTACCTTTTAAAACTGGTGTGACTTCTTTGTACTTTGTTCAGTATTAGGAAATACTTCAATGTAGCATCTATGGTAATGTTAAAGTCAATTTTTTTTCCAGGCAGTTCAATACTGTATTGTGAAGGACATCAGTGATTTTTTTTTCTTATTTAATTTCAGGTGTTTTCCTGCAACCTAGCTGGGTGTAAATGTGTACGCTAATGTAAAGCAGCTGAAACAAAAATGTTAAGAGGTTTTTTTTCTCTCTTACCTAACATTCTGGTCTAGACTGCAGGGTAGCTCTGAACCTTTAGAACATTCAGAGATCTTACATGTTGTTTTTCCATCTTCTAAGCATTCCTCATCTGCATGGCTGAAGTTGGATTGCTGCTACTTTCGAGCCCCAGTGAGGAGTGGGTTTGGGAGGAAGTCTAGGGAAAGCTGATTGTCTTTCATTTGAAAATAACTAGAAATTGCACTCCTCACTTTTTGCCCATCCTATTGACCCAAACTTAGGTGGCCACCTCACACTGCAAGGAAGTCTGGGAAGTTTAGTCCCTAGCTGAGCTGCTATGTGCCCAATAAGACTAGGAAAATGCATTGAGGGGACAACTAGTATTGTGCCACAGGACTTGGTGTGCATTAGAAACCGGAGTTCCAGAACACCCTACCTTCTGATTGGGTTTAGTCAATCCCACAAGTGATAGGTGAATCACTACTCTTTTAGACTCCAAAGAGTTACATGTAGTAAGGTTTTTCTTCAAGGACACACTACAGCCTACAGCCAAAAGTACATTATGATATGAACTTTGTCCATGCAAATATTTGATGTATAGGAGGTTCTTTTACAAATGCCACACAGAATTTTTCACCTGGAAATAGTAATTGGCGTGAAAGAAGGATCTAGTATTCAAATAACTACTACGTCTCTAACAGCAAACATAGAAACACAGAGTTTACCACCCAAATCCTGAGTGTTTGAAAATGGTAATAAACAAGGAGGCCATCCCCTGTTTCATTTGTTTTTAGAGAGTTTACATGTAGTTTCAAAGCAGTACAATTGAGAAGTTAGATGTAGAGTACTGGCAAACAGGCTTTTTGTGCTTCCTTAATTTATTCACTGATCGTAAACTCATTCTTATCTTTCAAGCACCCATCTTACCAGTTGTTCTTAAACTTCAGCTTATATCATAATCACCAGGAAGACTAGGTAAACAGATTCCTGCATGGCCCCACCCCCAGACTTTGTAATTCACTAGGTCTTAGGTGGGGCAAGATAATTTGCATGTCTAACAAGTCCACAAGTGTTGAGATACTGATAGTTCCAGGAACATACTTTGAAAACTACCAGTAACTATGACTCCCCATGGTGATCCTTCAAGGAATGACTTATTCCAATTGCTGGGAGTGCTCCCAGGGGATAGCCTGTCGGCTCATCAGGACTTGCTCTTGGCTACTCAGAGCTGCCTGGTCCAAGATCACTTTCATTTCCAGAGCTACTCACATCCAATGTCTAAGCACAGCAGAGGAAGGAAGACCCAACACAAGGCACTCTTCCAGGCACTTTCAGTACCAGAGCTCCCAGAGGTGTCAGCTGACTTCCCTCTCTGCCTCATTCTACTTTCTCCTTCTTCCTGTGTACACATTGATTCCCAAGGGCACTCTCTATAAACATCTTAAATACTAAATTCTGTTTCAGAATCTGCCCTTCCAGAGACCCCAGATTGAAACAGTAATGATTTCACAGTTTCTCTCTGTGGCAGATCAAGTTGAGTCCAGGTTCTTCAGTTTGATGATATTCGAAGTGGACATCAACTGGCACTCTATGAGCTCTGCAGCTCACACCTCACAGCTGCTTCCTAACCCTCCCTTCTTTGGCCTATCTGATCCTCACCATCCCCTACACAGCTCCTACTATTCATTCCTGTCTCAGGGAGTATGTTCATTTTGTTTCCACTACCTAATATGCCCCTCCATTACTGCCCTTTTTACCTGTCCTAATACTATACATCCTTTAAGGCTCAGACACAAACTTATCTATTTCAATAAGCATTCTCTGTAAAACCACTATGGAGCTGATCTGGACAGTCTTCTAATAATTGTGTTTATAATCTCTACTTCTTTTGCATATTTCTATTATAACATCAAGTGATATTGAAAATGGTGATTTACTTGTGTTTATCCTTCTAGACTGTGAATGCCCTGAGGGCAGGGACCACACTTAAGTTATCCTTGAACAGGTAACTGGTCCAGAAATGAGTACTGAACCATTTCACTGAGCTAACCAATGTGCCCATAGTGCCTTGTAATTTCTCTACCAGCCTTCCCCATGTATCTTCTTGCTTCATCCTCTGTACAAGTTCCTTAGTGTCAGGATTTTGTTTTTTGGCTTTGTTATATTCTCATGGTTCGTAGAGTTGTGCTTTAAAGAGAGCAGATATTCCATAAATACTTACCAAATAAAGGAACGTATTGTAGTTAATGGTTTTTATGACCCATAACAAAGAACATGTGCCAATAATGTATATTCTGATTAGAAGACCATATCTTACAATTTTATTATATATTTCTCAATATTTGAATGCTTATGTTTCCTAAGAACATGAGTTCCTCATAGACTAAGTATGTTATAGTGCATTTATAAATAAAATTACAAAATAATAAAGGTATAGGATATTAATTTGAAGTAAACAAAAGAAAATGCCACCTAACAATGTGGGGGAAAACATAATAAAAAAAGAATAGAGTGCTATACTTACCAACACACACACACACACACACACACACACACACACACACGCACACACACAGTCTTTAAAAGAAAAATATTCTTTTAAAATATAATCCATACCACCAGGTTAACCTCAGGACTTCTAATTTCATGAAAATTCAGAAGACAATTTTTAATAATGTAAGCTTCCTTTTAATTGTCATAATTTGTATTTCTGCTAGGCTAGACCAAGCAGTCATATCTACATTCAAAGATGACCAAGATCAGTGACTTGAGTTTAGTTCAAATTTTCTTCTATTCTGGTTCATTCATAACATAGCAAAGACTGTATGTTGCAAAGGGTACAGACAGGTGTATGCTCCAGGATCCATGTATTTAGTGGAGACATACTAAGATTTGGTGATATTGGCTGTCTTATGGAATGAGATATCTCTGCTAAGTAAGAGAATCCTAACACCGTGGATTTGCTGCCTCTCCCACCACCTACCTCCCATACCTGTCAGCACAGAGATAGGCATACAAGGCAATAATCCTACAACTCAGCAAGCTGTGTCACTCAACCCAGTATCTGTTACCCCATGTTCCAGACCTTGACAATTTTGTTGTGCCAGCAGTGGGAATTCATCCCTTATTAGTGCCTGTGTACAGGACCTCAGTATTTTCCATTATGTCTCTGTTGGAAATCTCTCTGTGAATGACTAACCATGACCTACTTCCTTTTTCAGTATGAGAGGGTTCACAACTGAAATGATTGAAGAATGAAGTTGATTTCACATTCTGAAACCTATCAATTCCCAGTTCTTGCTAGAATTGTAAGCAGCATAAATAGGAATGTCAGTGCTCCTCTTACCCATCTTTTAGGATATGATTACATGGCATCACTGTGGATAGTTTTCTAGCAATCCTTATTGTTCAGAGTCTCAGTCAGCTGAGCTAGTTCTTATAAGATCAATAACCAAAGAAAAATATAAGTCAAGCACATATTTGGCAAATCTAGTTTTGAGACAGAGGTCTAGAGAGCATACTATTGGTTTTAATATGGGAAGTTCAAATAAAATTTAGACAAGCCGGATATGGGAAGTCTCAATTTGAGCAAAATATTAGATTGAAACAGCAACATGCCCCTAAAGGGGCGACTACAGCAGCTAAGTAAATAACAGATAGCAGATGTAGGCTCTATATTACAGTATTTGAGTAGTTTTGGCTTTCCAGTCAGACCTAGAAAGCTGGTGGAAACTGAGGAGTAGCCACATTTTCAAGTGGCTACTCCTCATTTTAACTACAGCAGTCATGAGTAAAAAGCAATTGCAGATAACAGTGTGCTGCCATCCACTTATAAAAATGAATCTACTAAACTATGAGCTGTAAGTCATGTGCTTTGGTTTGCTTGATTTGATTAGGCTTTTGTATTCTTTTGTTTTTAGTGCCTGATCTACATTTCTGATTAAGGTACCCATTATAAACAGTGGCCCTCATTTATGAAGCATCTGACTAAGACTTGTGGAATAGAGTAGGCCTAACTTGGGAGCCACTTCTTCATCCTGCATTTTTGGCATTCTCCCATTACCAAGCGTACCCCATAAGGAAGTTATGATTGGCTTTTATAGATCTAAGTATATGAACCTTAAAATAGTAACATGGACAGGGTCAAATCATGCTAACCTGTCACTGTTTCCAAAAAATGTGCAAACGTCCTTTGCCACAGTGAGTAAAAACGTTATGATAATACATTTGTAAAAGCATCATCTTAAGGAAAATTTGTTATGAGGAAAAAATGGTATGTCTATAGCCATATATTTTCATTCAAACCAGAATATAAACTTTTTGGGCAGAAACTATGATTCCATCTTTTTATAACTTCTCAAAGAGTTGGCAGGTGTGCACATAAGGGAAGCACTTCATGAATGTTTGTTGATTTGATCCTTTTGTTCTTTAATGTGTGTCTGTGTATTTTCTGGTTGTGTTCTCATCTCTTTTCTTAGCCGTTCAAAACTTCTCTACAGACTCATGGAAAACTTTGAAAATTAGTTTATAACAGAAGATGCATGTCATTAAATGAGATGGACATGCCCTTCAGCTTTGTTGGGAGGGGAGCTTGATAATTTGTCCTCTGTAATGTCATTCATTCTCAAACTGCTTCTAATGCTCCAGTTGTTGTATCTATTCCCACAGACTTCCCACTTGACACTTTCTCACATTTCCTAATGAACTTCTTTATTAGTTAGATGTTTTGTTTACAGAATGTACAGCCACAACAAACTAGACATTTATAAATTAAAAAAGAGTTGAGAAAGAAAGCCATCAATTCTTTCAAATGGATGAATTCTGTTTGAACAGATATGACTTTGAAATAATGAAGAAAAGATTAATAAATATTTTACACATGCATTTAATATTTTAGCAAATCTTTAAGGTCAATTTTGTGTTAAAATTTATGGTACCACTTTAGGGAACATTTATGAAAATGAATTTCAGAAATCACCCTCATTGTCACGAGTGATTTACAGTAGAGTTGGACAGGCCTACATTACTGCAGAGCTGGTTGTGTTAGAGACTCTATGGGCGAACTGAAGCAAAACTTCAACCAGTGGAATTAGTAATTCAGACAAAACCATCAATATTGCCAAATAATCACCCATCTCCTTGGCCTAGGCTGTCTTGACTTTGCCTAAAAAGGCAACTACTGAATATTTTCTGTCTTTATTTGAGAAATGAAATGACTAGTGGTAAGTAAAAATGATAAATTGTCATCTTTGACCTTTTCTTCCAGAAAATATATACTGTAGTTCTTCAGTAAATTTGACTTCAGTATGTTTC